GAAGTGAGATACGAGTTAGTGCAACAGAATAGTTACAGTAGCTTCCAAAATTAATACCAAGTCAGGAAAAGTAAGTATGGTTAACTTACAAATAGGACTTAAAATGCATACATGGAAGTAAGCAGCCTTTCCCCACACTTTGGAACCATTTGGCAAAAGTGTAATGCTTTTTTGATCTTCTGTGCTGATCAAAAAATCAGCTGTGGGTTTTTTAATGTTTCAGACACATGTGCAGCTTCAAACAGCTACCATTAATTTTATACAGTAAAAATTGCCTGTCAAATCAGTTTCCAAGTGTTTCTTTTTCTTCAGAAATCTCTTCTGCTGAGAAATCTGTACAGTCCAACGCTAGTGACACATTTTTTTGCGTGAAAAAATTCAACTTTAAAAGCACCTTCAAAACTAGAAAACAACCTATAAGTTTATCTGAAGGGTAAGAATTATTAAGTTTTTCTTGGGGCTAGCACAACTTCCAGATAAACAACTTCAAACAAAACATGAATATTGTGCTCTAGTTTGCAAAAGCAAATTCCTTCCCTGAGCACAAATCCAATAATAGTTTTTTTAATGTTCTTTCTGGAGTCCTTAATTCTCTTTCCTATATCTTTCTCACTCTTCCTCATTCCCTGATTGTTTGGCTTGACTCTCAGCAAACCTGTGGGACAAGGGTGAACTAGGAGTCACGCACAGCTAAATACAGAAAACTTGCAGTACCGGTATCTAGCCTTTCCTTAACCTGGGTTTTTCTAGCACAAAAAAACATGAAATGGCAGAACATGAAGGGATATCAAGGCTATGTAGCATATCAATGGACTTTGAGATTGAAGATTCTGGCATTTCTCAAGATATGGGATATTGAAGAGGTCTGTTCTGTATTCTTTCATTAACACCTCCTACAGTCCTTTTGGGGCTCTTGCTGGAGAAAGGAAATGTTACTATTTTTCTGCTCTTTGCATTTCAGTTTTTGATTTAAACTTAGAAGACAGGCACTGGCAGGGCTCGTACGCCACTAAGATACGATGAGTTGTCCTAATTTTTTAATGCACTTCTCATCTAACAATGGATATCAAAACAAAAAATAGGTCTATTTTCCATTCCAAATATAAAAGACTTATATTTTCCACTGTGTCTTTCAAAGAAAGAAAGTGAGCAGTTCATATTCAACCACTTCAAAGTAGCAGATTAAAATCAGCTTTCTATAAAGCAGCATACCTCCCAGGAACTGGGACACTAACTCTGTATGGCCCTTCCTAACTATAACAGGCAGCTAGATTGTGATTTCCAGAGCATTCCAGTTGCTTTCAGCAAGGTGTCATGACAAAAATTCTGATGTGGTTTTGTCATGCATTGCAGGGGGATCAAGCAACGTGAGCTCATGTGAAAAATTTGCTCCACTTGTCTTAAATTCATCTAACTGCTCTCTGCAGCACAGTGTTGGTTTCTCTACTTGCGAGAGCAAGGGTCATTCTGTCGGAGGTGGTCAGGCTGACTTTTGCATCTCATTCAGTCTTCATTTGACTATTCTCTGCCTGCTGTATCAGTTTTTCTTGGTTCTCTGACTTTATTTCAACCGTTTCAAGATGGTATTAAATATTTTAAAAACATGAATGCAAGCAAATAACTAGGATGGACTAGACTGTTTCTGGGTTTGTTGTTGTTGCTGATTCAAAATATTTTGTATGTGAAATGCATTATGCTCAAAGTTGCATTCCTATTCAATTTGACCATGCTACAATTAGTCCCGTGGATAGAGCTGGAGTCATTTGGGCTGTGCAGTGGCATTATATTCATGTGGGTGTCAAATTTGACCCCAGCTGGAGAAAATGAATAGCTTTGCCATTCAACATTTCCATATATTATATAGGACTTTCATCACATATATTGTATTTCTGTCCAATACCCAAATACCCTTGGGGCAGAAATATCTGATTAATGCCTTGGACTTATACCTTCAGCACTAAACATAAAAATACTAAGAAGCAGGACTATGCATCAGATGCAGAATATTTGGTGAGTAAGGCACTTTCTTAAGTCTTTCCTTGCTTAAAGAGGGAGCTAATTTGTCTTTTAAAGACTCAGGTTCTAAGGCTGACTTTTACGAACTGGGAAAGAAGGAGCACATCAACTTCATGCTTGTGTTTATGCAGTAGTGATTGTTTGTTGCCCAATGAAACATTGTTGCTGTTTTAGTCTAGTACATCAAAGAATCTTTTAAATGTAAAACTCTTATCTCGACGTGGGGGTTGGGAGAAATGAAAAAATGCACTTACCTTTCTTGTGAAATGGGTAGTATTTTGATAAATGTAAACTTCCATCCCAGAGAATCTTCTTGCAAGCTAGTATTGATGGGAGGTGAGAATAAATACAGTTTAAATTATATTTTCCTTTGATATGGCATCACGCTGTAGACGACAATGCTAATATATCTTAATGGCTGTGCCTTTTAAGAGCTGAATATCAGTCAAGCATATAATTTCATATAGTCTGGAAAAACATAAAAAGGAGCATCTAACAGGACAGAATAAGGCACCACACTCTAGAATACTTACTTATTGTTCCCTTGCTATAGAGCTCTGCCTTTTAAAAAATACAATTTCCTAAACCTTCTATGTTTGAATGATTGCAGGTGTTTTACTAAAGTAATGAGCTCTCACTAGTAAGAGGTTCATAAAAGCTGTTCATAGTGGCTCCAGCTTGGTGCTGCATACCATTTTGCCCACTACCACTAGAGTAGGTATATTCTGCTTAGCAATTTTTTTTCCTTACACTTTGTGGAATACAATATTTTCTTCTCCTTTTATTAAAAATCTTGAGCAGCTCCATAAATCTACAAATTCCAAGTCATGTGGAATCCTATACTTTATGCTCTATTGTCCAATGCCATGTGGTAACATTTCAGTTTTAGCTACAATGCTTGAACATAATTCAAATAATATACATGAGAATTTTTACTTGCATGTCTCCAGAAACTGCTATTTTTAAAGAAGAAACACCACTTACACCAAGGTTCGGAAAGATACTAATAGGTAGCTGTTGGTAGATGTTGCTGTTGCATCTTACTACAATTTTGAAATGTCATCTTTATTAAATGTTTCAGTGAACTTTAAGATGTTCACTCCCATGCATTTTTTCCTCTCTTGCAAGATGCATGCTCACTTCAAGTTTGTCAGCACTGCCACCCAAGCTGTTCAAAGTCACTTGTGTGCCTGAGAGGAGAAACACCCATCCGTCATTTCACTTACACCTTGGAATGACAGCAGCTGGAGAGGAATAAAACAGCTGAAAATTTGTATTGGATAGAAGAATAATGGTTCTGGCATATCAAAGTGGATATGGGTGTAATAGGGTCTCTGACTTCCACAGCTACTCTCTGGTGCTATAGAAGAGGGGCAGCTAAGCACATCAGTGATGGAGGCAAAATTTCTAGCAGGGCTAAACCAGCCTGTGCTAGTTTGCAGCAGCCCATGCCAAGAGGCAGGTGAGTGCTCAGCAGGTGTCAGTCACTATTGGCTGATCAACAATGTTTGGTTTGCTTTGTTATTGGAGCCTTTGCTGGCCCTGAGACCATGTTTTATTTCTGGACCTATAATCATACAGGAATTTTACACTAGATACATGAAGCATTATGGGAAATTCTCAGAATAAATCCTATCCTTGTGCACCACTTAAAGCCAGGGAGAGTATGGACTGTGCATACTGAACAATGCTGGTCCAGTGATGGCCTTTGGAGGCCTGACTGAAATGATTAATCCAGTTCATGCCTGTTATCACCATTCCTGCCCTAAATGCCCTAAAGATATTTAAATCAAGACAGCGATCAGTATCATTAGATTTAGTGAGCACTCTGTTTTTATCCCTTCATCTTAATCAAAATCATTCTTATGCTTTGATTTGTGCACCCTGCAAGGGTTTCTGTCATTACTGGCAGGCAGCATCAAGCACCTGCACATTTACCCTCTGCACTGTTGGACCACTGCTGTTCACCTGTAGTGGATTTTGGAACTGGCTTCCTCAACAGCAAATATTTTTCCCCTTCACAGGCTCAAAATAAGGGTTGGAGAGGAAATAAAATAAAGTTAGTGTTTTATTCAATACAGGTGAATTTATGATAATAATTAGTTTCATTTTTATCTGCTGGATATTTTTTCTACTTTCCCTTTCTGATAATGGTGCAATGATGCTGTAATGCTCCCTTCAGTGACAGTGAAAGGTTGCATTTCACTGATCCAGCTCACTTCCACATTTGATATCTCAGTGGTTTAATGTTCCAAGTAAACTGAGCTAGTGAAGGGTGAAAGGTAACAACCTTTTCTCCTTGGACTTAATTATTACCCCCTTCCAAATATATATGGATGCATATATACAAAACACTCTTTGACTTCAACTGTCTATATTTCTTGATGACCAAGTTTTGCCCAAGAATCTATTACCAGATTTCAATCTTATTTGTCTGTGAATTTAATTCTTTGTATAAGGTAATATCCGTGCTCACATGTTCATATAAGGTTAAGTGCATGTTTGCCACTTAAACTTGATGGTGTATTAAAAAAAAATTTAAAAACAAAAAAAAAGAAAAAAAAAAAAAAAGAAAGAAAAAAAAAAAAGTAAAGGTGAGTTGGTAGAAGGCTGTGCGGCTCCGGCGCTGGTTCGGCGGCCGTACGGGGGTAGCCAGGTGTGTCCCCTCATCAGATGGGTCACTTCAGAGCCGGCCCCGCTCGGGCTGTCCGGTCCCCCCGCGCCGGTCCGAGCTTGTGGCCACCGAACAGAGGCGGGAACGGCTCGCTGCTGGGCCGGGCGGGCGCACCCAGGGGTGAGGCGAGGCCGCCCCGGGAGGGTGAGGCGAGGCCGCCCCGGCAGGGTGAGCGTGAGGGTGAGGCCGCCCCGCCCGAGGGCCGCTTGTGGCGGCGGCGGGCCCGGGGGCTCCCCCTGCCGGCGGCCGGCGGGAACGCGCGGGGTGGGGGGCGCGGAGCGCGCCCTGCCCTGCCCGGCCCCCGCCGCCGGCGCTCCGCGCTCCGCAGGCAGCAGCGGCTCGCAGGCGGCAGCGCTGGCCCGGCCGTCTCCGTTCCTCCATCCCTGCCTGCCTCTCTCCCTGACTGCCTCTTCCGCCGAGGCCAGCGCCAGCCCGGGGACCCTCTGCCACGGGGGCGCCGCCTTCCCCCGCTCGCTTCTTTCCTTCCTTTCCGCCTCTTACCCGGCCGGTGACAGCCGCCGGCTCGCCCCGCCGGGAAGCCTGGGCGCCCCCCAGCCATCGCTGCTGCTCCCCATGGGGATCCGGGAGTTCCCCAACGGCTCCGCGCGGGGCAAAGCCGCCACGCTGTGAGTACCGCGGGGCCGGGCGGGCGGGCCGGGGGGACAGGGACACCCCACACCGCCCCACCTCACCTCAGCTCATCTCACCCTGGCCGGCGGCGCCGCCCGCTCCCGGGGGTCACTCAGGTGGAGGGCGGCGAGGAAAGTTGTGGGCGCCGCGGGCCCGGGCCGGCTCCCCTACCGGCGTGGGTCCCCCGCCCGCTGCCAACTTCGCCCGGGGCCGGCGGAGGGCGGCGGCGCTGGCGGCGCGGCCCCGGGCTGACGCCCCTCTCCCGACCCGCAGCGGCATGCGGCGCTCCCCCGATGTCAGCCCCCGGCGGCTGTCCGACATCAGCCCGCAGCTGCGGCAGCTCAAATACCTGGTGGTGGACGAGGCCATTAAAGAGGACCTGAAGTGGTCCCGCTCCGTGGAAGACCTCACCAGCGCGTCCGTGGGACTCACCTCCATCGAGGAGCGCATCCTCCGCATCACCGGCTACTACGGCTACCAGCCCTGGGCTGCCAGCTACAAACGTGAGTCCCCGGCACGGGCGGGCGTGGGGGGTTGCCAGGACGGGGGCTTGCGGGCGCAGCCTGGAACCGGCAGAGGGATGTGGGTTCGAGGGGCCGATCGCTTTACCGCTGGAACGAACCTCGCTCCGTGGAAGGAAGTGCTCTCACTCTCGGCGAAGAATTCTATGCCCGTGTTGCCTTAGTCCTTTGGCAGTGGCTGGTTCACGAGAGCGCGGTGCTAAGAATGATGACAGCTAAATTCAGCTAAGAAAATAGGTCAAATATTTGTCTTCATGTTGCAGGCACACTTAGCGACGGTGATTACCGTGGGTTGACAGCTGTGTAAAAGCCCCTGCACGCTCATGCACATACCATGGCCACAAGTAACACGCTTTCAGTGTACGTTTCTGTTGTTTTAGGAGACAATTTCTGTCAAATTTTCGCAGCATTTGAGCTGAATGATCTGTCTTTTCCTGTGTCGAGTGGAACTCTTTCTTCCGTGTGCATACACTTGAGAAAGAAACTTCAAATGATAACGATATGAAGAGAAGTGTAGCTGTATTCCTTTACAGACATGATTTACAAAAGAAGCATTACCTCGAGTTGTTTTAATATATCAACTAGTACTTTTTGTATGTAATGCCCTATTTCTTGTCCATCTTTCATCATTTTTATGTCAATTGCATGCATTAAAAAGTTCTAGAATAGTTTACCAATTGATTGAAGTTATAACATTATTTTGGTTGTCTTAAGGTCGTTTGAAATATCACAGGAGGTTTTGTTGATAAAAGGATTCTTCTGTAACAGAAATCATTGCTTTGCTGGAAACACTGGCTCTGATAAAGTGCTGGTTTTCATATTGTCCTTCCCTAAGTATTAAGTGCAAATGTTCTGAAGTATTTACTACTGGATTATCTTTTTGGCAGTGTGCTTAATAATGGATGAATGATACAAGAATGCATGGCACACAGTGCTAGTTCAGTTTTTCTCTGAGGGAAAGCTGCTTCTGATTGCCTGAAAAATAGGACTTTACTAATAAATATTCTAATACTTTCCTGTGAGAGCCTTTTTTTATTTTATCCTTTGATTGCAATTAAGACAGAAATATTAGGTATTTGCTACTTTATGCACAAGGAGCAAGGTGTTTCTATAAGAGCAATTCCAGTGCATGGATTTGGGCTGTTCTTAGGAGTAAAGCTTATTCAGGCCAGTTTTAGGGATCAGATCATCTGTGAATGCCAGGCTGAGTTGGATGTTAATGGTTCTTTCTGACAGAGTGACTAATAGTCTAGCTGAAGTCACACTGAGCTGCTATGGCTGAACCTTCTGAAATAATAAAGGTCATGCTGGCTCCTCAATTATAACCTATTTGTTGAAATTTATAACTCTGTCTGAAAAAGTTAATAGCAAGCCTTAGCCTGCTATTCTAGTTACATTTTCTTTCCTAATTCGATCTGAATAACAAAATTACATACTTGAGTTGTAGTGGTGGGGAATAAATATACAGTGTCTGAGTTTCATAAATGTATGTCTAAAAATAAAAAATAATTGCTTATGTGAATTTGTTGCAAATTTAAATTCTGAGTTAATAGGAACATAGAAGTACACATAGAAGAAAAGATGTATCTCTACAGCATGGTTTAAGGAGAGCCATGTTGATCTACATCAGCTGAATAGCTGACTGAATAGAGTATATAATCTAAAGTGGGAAGACAACCTTGTCCCAGCCTCTTTGAAACATCTTCAAATACTTCTTCAAGTTGGGCTGATGCCTAATTTTGGGATATGGACTTTCCTTGTGACTTTGCAGTTAGAAAGCTGCAAGGTTTCTATTTATTTATAAATATAATTTTATTTGGCTCAAGTACTGCAAACAAATAATTTTCATTAAGCTCGAATTGCAACCTGGGTACTTCTTGTCATCTTATTTTGCATCCTTGTAGACAACTGGATGCACTATGATTATAGTTATGGACTGCATTAATAATGGACCTGCTTTGCAGAAAATAAGTCCATAATATGGTCTGATCTAGATTTTTAGTCTATCTCTCTTGGTGACATTCTTTTTATTGTAACTAAATTGCCTGTAGGGCCAGAGCTACCTCTTTTGCACTACAGTGTATTCCTTTCGTACTTTATTTAGACTGTTTATATATATATGGATGGATGGATATATAAAATTGTTTGAGAGATTCAGAAAGCTTTTGCTTATTTATAGGGAAACTACCACTGATAATCTGAGATGGTGTTACCATGACCCCAACACTTACTTGGAGAACAATTTGAAACATATGGGGATGCCTCAAGGTTATGTAGTAGCTCCAGTATTTAATATTAAAATTCTTATAAATTCATCAGAAAGAGAGGAGGAAGAAGTGAAAATGTGCTTAAGACACAAACTGGTCTGGGTTGGACAGAATGAGAAAGGACTTGTAGCATTACCCTAGGGAGACCTGTCCCAGCCGGGTGACTCGCTGAAATGTCAGCACATGTCATTCAGTTATCACAAACAGAAGCCTCACATTTCCTGAAAATGCTAAAATTACCTGCCAACTTTCACATTACATTGACTGGTAATTTTGGGACTGTACACAGCTCAGGGAAGACCTCTGCTGTTTGACTGCACTTGCAAACCAGAGTTTAGGAGCCAGAATAATGTAATGTAATTCCTGTGTGTTAGAATGCCTTCAGCAAATTCAATGGAATGCTGTAATTATGGTTATCTGCTCTCAAAAAAATATTACTAGATGCTCTGAAATAAGCAAGGAGAAAGAGTACAGGCAATCTGTAAAGACCCTCAAGAGTTTTTGCTGTTTACCTTAAAGAGGTTGAAACAAAGGAATTGGAAAGTACTGGCACATGTTGCTTAGGCAGGTAAAGAGTTTTTCTTCTTACTGTGGTCATAAGAAAAAAGGTAGACAGGAAAAGAAGCTGAAAAGCCATCAATTAAAGCCCAAGATAAAAAGAAATAATAGTGAAGAAAATATGTAATTTATTCTTGGATTTCAAGGAATTGTAATAGCAGTGATAAGATCTAGAATTGTGATAAAATGGGAAATGTGTTGGAAATAATATTAAACTTCATTATCCAGAATTTGAATTAGGCTGTGAGGAGACTTTTCTTGAGGGTTTATTGGGCTTCCCTCTGTAGCATCTCCCAACCTTTAGAAAAAGAGTAGGAGTGTTCCATGATCTAATCTGATAGTTCTTGTTTTTCTGAATTCTTTGATTTCCAGGATTACTAATTATGTGGTTAACTGCTCTCCAGTCTAAATCAAATATTCATATGTGTCCCATGGGGAATATTTTGCAGAATGTGATTTGATTTTTCAAATATAAAGGCAGAGGGGAAGAAACAGATAAGACGCAGTCAGATTGCAGAATCATACCCTTATGCAGCTACAGATGTATCAGCTCAATATTTGTGAAATTCTCATTATCAGTAACAGGTATGTTGACTTTCATTCTTTCCTTTTAGTTAGAATGTAGCAATCAAAGGCTTTAATAAAAAAGCCCCCAGAACAATGCCATGAGATTTGCAGATCCCATTGACAGTCTTCTTGTTTATAGGTGAAGCTGTTGTTAGAGCTGTATTAGCACTGCTGTTCTCTCCTATGAAGGTTATGTGAATTCTCATGATTTCTGCCTCTGAAAGCCTGGGACTTCAGTTGAAGAGCAGAGGCAAGTCTGGAGGTGAACAGCCATATTTTAAGTTTCCATTTCACAGCATTGTCAGTTGGAATTAGTTTTCTAAATATATATTTTTTTTTAAGTATAGTTCCCTAGGAGCTTTTCTGTACTTGAGAAATACAGGTGTCACAAAACTCTTGGACAGTCCTCCTGGTCAGTATGGAAGACTAATCTATTTTAATTATTGTATAAATTAGCAAGGTGTTTGTTTCCACAGGAAATTATCACCTTTGCCAAACATTCATTTTTCTCTAACTAGGTCTATTTTCTGGTGATTCAATATCACAGTGTGTCATTATGTGATTAGTATTTTAAATACATTCATGTGGGCTTGAGCCAGCTATCCCTATATTGCAGTCTTCTTCCTACAGATCACCTGCTTCTACTCCTTGTTTAAGATTAGGTGTTTCTTTTAAAGCAGGGACTTTCGTGTATCTTTAGTATGTGTTGATTAATACAGACTTGTAATGGAAAAATCAAGATTGTATGGGCTTTGGCCTTCCTCTTCTATTCACTTAACATTCTTTGTGTGCTTACAGACGTTTCCATACCTGCAGAAAGAAGAGACTGGTATGTAGTTTGAACTCCTCTTAATTCTGTTTATTAGGAATTGACTGCTGTCTGTGGATCACAGCTTGTGAATGTACATTTCTCTGAGACTTCCACCTTGTGAATAATTCCAGGTTGTCCCAGTGATAACTTTTAAGAGATGTGATGTTCAGGTGAAAGGGAAAGATTGTGTGCACTAAATGAAGTTCTCTGACTTTGCTTCTTCCTGGTACTTTAAATATAAATTTTCATATTTTTAATGTTTCGTCATAGTTATTTCAGCAACAAAATAAACCATATAATTTTGATGCACAAAACTTCAATATAATACTCATCCAGTGCGTGGCACATTAGGTCTTGACCTGAATGTGGAATTTAAATGCTGTCACCAATAACATACTGGAACACATTGGCTGAATAGCCTGAAGATTGCTCAGAAAGCATAATTGTCTGAGTATGCCAATCACAGAATTATTCCATAGAATGATTTGGCTAAGAAGGGACCTTAAAAGTCATCTAGTTTCAATCCTCCCTGCCACAGCCAGGGACACATCTACTCGACCAGCTGGCTCAAATCCTAGTCCAGGTTTGCCTTGAACACTTCCAGAGATGGGGTGCTCCTCACTCCTCTGGGCAGACTCTTCCCACTTATAGATTTTGACAGCTTTTCAAGGTAAGAGTTCAGTGTTGGTTTTAGCTAATTAAATGTATGAGCACTTGTAAATATTAGAGTATCAGTTATACAGCTAGAGACCAGTGTTACCAACTGATCCCCAGTGTTC